CAACAACATCGGTACAACCGCCACCATCAACATCAACACGACCACCAACAACAACATCAGTACAACCATCATCATCACCAAAAACAGTACCACCTCAAGTATTAAAAAATTTAACATGTACATTAACAAAAAAAATCTTTGCTGATCCAGTTAAAGCAAGTGATGGAAAAACATATGAACGTTTTGCTATTAAAGAATATCTCGTTGATAATCGTCTTTCACCACAAACAGGTGAAGAAATGAACGATGAATTTATTGATGATATTGCAACAAAAGATCTCATAAGTAGACTTCGACAACAAAAATTACTTCCATAATTTTTCTCCTCATTTTTTTTTGTTTTATTTATTTATTTATTTATTTATTTTATTTTACAGAATCAAGAAAGATTAATATTTTTTTCTAGATTTCAAAAATAAAAAACGAAAAAATTTTCTATGTCATCACGTGATATACCACTAACAATTGAAATGGTCATTTCTTGGGCAAAATCTGGTCATGAATCAGATAAAGTTTATCGTTTTATATTTCTTCATCCTGAAGATTTATTTACTATTCCACAAAGACGTAGTTGGACAATTGGACATCAAGTAGTTTATAATGGTGATGTTAATCTTTTAAAACGTATTCTTGCACTTTTTTCTGATGAACAAATTAATATTCGTACATTATCAAGAGATCAAAAAACTCTTCTTGATGTTGCTAAAGAACGACATAAAATTTATCCTTCTATGTATACCTATGTTGAACATTTATTTCTTCAAGATGATTTAATTCAAGCAGCTAAACAAAGCAATTGGGATTTAGTTCATAATATTCTTAATAAACATCCTAAATTATCTAATGAAAAACCTCCTTATTCAACATATTTTCTTTTACATTATGTTGTACAAAATGGTGATAGAAGAATTTTAGAAAATTTACTTAGACGTCATGAATTTCAAATGAATGTTTTAAGTGCACATAATGAAACATTAATAGATATGGCTAAAAGACTTGGAAAAATTGATATGTATTCAATACTTGAGCCAACAAAACAAGAAGAATTACATTCAAAGTCAATTAAACATTCACTACCATTATCACTATTCAGTAGTAAAAGTAAATCAAATAAAAATCCGCCAAGTTCTACTTTTAGTCTTCTTCCTCATCCAGTATTACATCCTACTTCTGATTTACCATATCCAACAATAGATCCATTTCCTAGTGCACCTCTTTCGAATGTTACACTTAATCTTAGTTCAACTGGCAATTTCACATTTACAAAAGATAATAAATCTATTACAATTCAAAATGAAGTATCTCCATCTAAAGAACAACAACAACTAATAAATACAAAAAATGAACATATTCATTCGATGGAAACGATGTCTAGTCAATATTCAGATGCAAATATAGAACAACCAGTTATATCACCAACATCAAAAGAACAATTAACAAAAAATTTAACATGCTTTCTAACACAAGAAATTTTTATTGATCCAGTTATTGCTAGTGATGGTCAAACATATGAACGAGAAGCCATTACGGAATGGGTTAATTTATATCATTGTTCACCAATGACAGGTGCATCAATGGATGCAGAATTTAACGATAATACTGAACTTAAACAAATCATTCAATCAATGAAAAAATAGAATTAAATCGATATTAGTGTTTTTATTTTTCGTACTGCTACTGTGATATTTGTTTGATATAAGAAATGAACCTGCAATGATTTCAGTCTTTTTTCTATCTATTTTAATTTTAATTGTAATTTTTATATACATAATTTTTTCACTAATTAATTTTCATCTTTTTTTTTTTTTATATACAAGATTTATGATAAATTAATTTTTAATAAAATTATTTTCAAATTAAAGTTTTAGATTCTAACGTCAGATTAGTTAAAATGGAAACGATCAAATATTATAGCAACTTATGGGAAGAAACTAATGAAAATTATAGTGGTATGTTAATTTATCCTATTAGTATAGTCGAAACATATAGAGAAAACTAAATAATAACTTTTAAAAGATAATGATGATTTTCATTCAAAAATTTATTTATTCTGTAATAGAATAATCTCTAAAATCGTAACTGTCTTATATTTATTCGATAAAGATTGATCACTATTTTAGTTATTAATAAAATTTTATATAAATAAATATTAATTTCAAAGATCATGTTTTTTCATATTTAGATTAAAAAACATTCATTTACACATAATGAAACCTATGACAATAAGGTTTTTTAATGCCAGCATTTCGATTATTAAAAAATAGCTTGATAAACACAAGAGTTGTATAATGTTGAATTACTCTAGATACTCTGAAAAACTCAGTTCTAGAGATCTTGGTTTCATCAAGTTATTATTGGAAAACCAGCGTAAGAGTTGTGACATAAAAATGGATAAAGATTTTGACTATGTGTAGTTCCATTTAAAAATTCTAGAAGTTAAAAAAAAAGTATTTTTGATACGTCTTATCGACGACTCTTCAAGCTACAAAATCTTTAAACCAAAGTATTTCCTGAAGATGCTTAGGTTTTTCAAAAAATGAAGTTTATTCGTTGTGAATAATGTGAGCGAATACGAATATAACAGGTGGCTTGTAAATAATGGGACAGTTTGATTTTTCATTTTTGAAGAACGGAAACCCTATTCAAAAGCTATGAATGGCTTATCAATATATAATCGGATGTAGAATTTAATTCAGAATAAAATCATGTAACATTTAAACCGAACGGCAAAAAACTTTAGATTGTCTCCCATAGCATAGAGCTGGAAGAAAGAGTCTTTTGCGTCGTTTTCTAATTTTTGTTTGAATTATTGTTCTTTCAATTGGTTTTTCTAAAAATTCGAAATATCGCGAGTTGCAGCATTTCATGGCGTATCTTGCAATATATTACGAATTTCGACAGACAATCGATATCATTTTTTTTCTACTATCACGTTCTTATAAAGATTTTATTAATTCTACACTTTCCTCTTTAGTATGCTATTCTATAATCATCTTAAAACTTTTTGTTTTATTAAAAAATAAAGTTTAAACTAGATTTTATTATCATATCATAGATCCACGTACATCTGATCTGTTCATGATGGATTCTCCAATTCCATCAACTTTGATCTGTTTAGGATATTTAATAGTTGTTTGGATGGGACCAACATTCATGGCAAATCGTCCAGCATATAATATTCGTCAACTATTATTAGTTTATAATGTTTTCATGGTTGCTCTATCTGGTTATCTATTCTATGAAGTAAATTAAATAACAAAAAATTTCTTTTGATTAAAAAAAATAAAAAATTCTATTTAGTTTCTTGTTAGTGGTTGGATAAATGGTTATTCATTAGGTTGTCAACCTGTCGATTATTCTCGATCACCTATGGCTATGAGAGTAGAGAAAAAAAAAACAAAAAAAAAATCTTCTTTTTTTTATAAACAATATTTTGTTTTTAAATAGATGGTTCGTGTTTGTCATTTATTTTTTTTATCAAAATTTATCGAATTATTTGATACAATATTTTTCATAATGAAAAAAAATTTTCATCAAGTAAGTATTTTACATGTTTTACATCATGGTATAATGCCAATAAGTTGGTGGTTTGGTATTCGTTTTGTTCCGGGTGGTTTTGGAACATTTCATTCTTGTATTAATTCATTTATACATTTTCTTATGTATTTATATTATGGACTTGCTGCACTTAGTCCTTCATTTCGAAAATATATATTTTTAAAAAAATCTATGACATGGATGCAAATGGTTTGTAAATATATACCTTAAATTTCAATTTTTTCTTTTCTTTTTACTTTTAAGATTCAATTTATGCTGGTTATGATTCATACATCACAATTATTTTTTATACAATGTGATTATCCAATTTTATTTGCTTATTGGATATTTTTCTATGCTATAATGTTTTTACTATTTTTTGCAAACTTTTATGCGCAGTCATATATCAAAAAATCATTATCAGCAAAATCAAAATCTAAACAAATCAAACGAAAAGAAAATGGTTATGAAAAAAATGAATAAGATATCATAGATATATTTATTCTATTTCTTCCTGTTTATTTCGAAAACAAAAAAAAAATCAAAAATGAGAAATAGAGAATGACAAGAATAAACTAGTTTGACATATGCATTTTGTCGTCCAATTATTGTAACTTGGAATATTCTTTTTTCACCTCGAACAAAATAAAAAAAAACAATAATAATATATCTATCAAGTCTGCTTCTTTTCTTTTTTTGTCTTTTTCTTATTGATTATAATAATAATGTTGATGATAATAATCATAAGAATGTGATGGTAACCAAGACCAATTAGTAGAATGGGATGGTAATGATTGAGGATTTGATTGTTGTAGTAATTGTGCACGTTGTTCAAGTTCATCTGCTAGATGAATTTTTTCAGGTTCATTTGATGATAATATTGAATTTTGTTGTGTTTGATTTCGTATAAGATAACGTTTAGCACGTTTTGGATGTGTATTTTGTGTTCGATTACGTTTATTTGAAAACCAAGCTTTTACTTGAGATTCTTTAATACCACCATTAGTTGCTAAATAATCTAAATCATTACGATTTGGATATGGATTATCTTCATGTTCTAAATACCATGTATTCATTAAATGAATAGCTTTTTCTGGTAATTGTTTATTAGATTTTATTGTTGTTGTTGTTGTTGTGGCACGATATATTCTTGTTGTATTGTCATTTTCTTGATTGATTGAAGCAAATTCATTCTAAAATAAGAGAATGACAAAAAAAAAAAGAATTTTTTTGTCTTGAAATTCAAATCTCTCAGAAATTATCGAACTAAAGATTTTTTAACACTTGATATACATCAATCAATCATTAAATCAATTAACGCATATTTGATAGTCTCTTTTTCAGTTTTGATTTTTTAAAATGATTATTTCCTACAAGCTGATTTTACAATCATTACTAAAACGATATGATTAAACATCTTGAATTATAATGAGTACCAAAAAAACTCATCATGTACAGTAGCGAAGCCAGGATTGTGAGTTAGGGGACTCAGTCTCCATTACTGATTATATACTCTCAACATAAAAATTTTCATATTAGCTCAATATAAGAATTTCAGCAATTTATTGGTCATATGAGTATCGTATATTCAAATAATAGAATATATAAAATTCTCATACTAATATTTCTTCAAAAACGATCTTGACCTTCTCTCTCTCTCTTCCTGTGTCTTACTTCATTTGAAATCTGTTGATCGTACTGAGCTGTATAAAACATGATTGATGAATGAATGATTGAGTTTGTTGAATATATTATTCTTTTTATTTAACTAATGAATGAACATTTATTCATATAACAGTATGTATTATACACATGATCGAAAAAAAAAAAAAAAATATCGAATTATTTTCTTTTTTGTTTTTTCTTTTCTTTTTCACGAAATTTGACCAATTGAAATAATTAAGAATGTTGACGAAGAGAGAAAATTATTAGCTGCGCACCAGGTAAATTGATATCCGTAATGAACACATCCTACCACCCTAGATTGATATATTATGTATAGAACTGATCGAATTTTTTTTTTTGCTATGCTAGACAAATTTTAACACGGCAATTAGGAAAAGTCTGATAATCATTGGAGGCGTAGTTTGAATAGGTGTGTATGTGTGTGTGTGAAATACATATTTTATTAAAATGAATAAAGACACAAACGAAAAATAGTGGGAATGAAATCGTATTAAATAATACCTTATATGGATAATTTATTGCTTTGTATTAAAAAGATAAAGGAGGTAAGTTATGATAATGACGAAAGAATGATTACATGACAGTGATTTATTTATGTAGTTTGCTTTTTCCCCATTTGAAGTTTTTAGATTTGCTGAAAAATATTTCCGATGAGGTAAGACAAATATTTTGTGCGTTTAGAGATTTTGTTCGAGAGTAGTAAAAAAATCTTCAAAAAAGCCCAAAATAACTAGTTTGAACAAGAAATTTTTGTATCTTCATTATTGAGATTCGAAAAGTTGGGATCTTTATTTATATATCAGCTTGAAGATCAGCAACTATCCTACAAAATGCACTATTTTTTGTCTTTCGACAAGGCACTTTAATTTTTCGTTTTTTTTTTTTTTTGTAAATACTCATTTTTGAAAACTCGACAACCGTTTTACGTTGAAAGGAGCTCGTGAAATAATCAATATCACATTTTGTAGAGAACTATCCGCTGTAGAAAACGACTGACTTCGACTAGCTTATTCGAAAAGGAACTTATAGGGTAAACAAAAGCCTGTTGAATCATCCTTAAAAATATTTTTTCAGATCTTTCAAAAAGTTCCTCACTACTCTTGAAACTCATATTCAAATTCTGGTCGCAACTGATACCGAAATGCTTTCAAGCAAACCAAAACAAAGAAACATGTTCATGGGAAACGCCGGCCTACGAGTTCTTCTGAAACTAATTTTTGTATACTTTGTAACAATTAAAATATTATTTATTCTTGAATTTGTACATTTTCCATTAAACTTAAGCAGTTTACAAAATTGTTTCTAATGCTTGACATTACATTTAATTAAAAGGTCGATTTTACTCGAACGAAAGAATTGCCCTCTAATGATATCTGTCATTGGAGCTCATATTGTACCCACAAGGATGTCTCAC